CAAACCAGATGCTTTTCCCTTCCTCTCCCTGTTCCTTTCCTGAGGGCTACAAGAATGTTTTTATTTTAAAATAATGTGTGTAAAAATTGGTACAATATTCCTGTATATCCCACACCCCTTTTCTATGTTAACATGGATATCTCTGTCTTATCTGTACAGCTAATGGGACAATAGTCACATGTTATTAATAATCCCCATACCTAATTTGGGTGTCATTAGTATTTCTTTTGGCTTTTCCAGGCTCCCGTAGTCTCTCAGACTCTCCTTGGTTTTGATGGACTTGGCATTTAGGGGAGCGCTGCTCAGGTGTGTTGTAGATGAGCCCTCAATGTGGGGTTGGTTGACTGGGGTGATGGGGTTGGGGAAAAAAACAGAAACATGAAGGGCCTTTCTCAGCACAGCGCCCTGGAGAGTCACCTGCACCTGCTCCTCACTGGTGATGTCACCGTCCCCCCCTGGCTGAGGTCGGGTCTCCACTTCCTCCCTGGGAAGTTCTTTCTTTCCTGTGTCCCTTTCCACACAGCAGTTGTTGGAAGGAGTCATCATGTGGAGCCCACACTTAAGGGGTGCTCTGCTATAAACATTTGTGTGCAGGTTTTGTGTGGAAGAAAAGTTTTCAAGTGAGTTGGGTAAATACCCAGGAGAGTAATCAGCAGGTTTTAGGGTAAATCTGTGTTTCACTTAATAGGAATTTGAAATTGACAAATCTCTTCCAGTGACTGTGTGATTTTGCATTTCCTCTGCAGTAAGTGGGGGTCCCTGTTGCTCCCCATCCTGGTCAGCACCTGGTGCACAGTGTCCCCCCTTATCTGAGTTTTCACTTTCCAAAGCCTCAGTTTCCCAAAATTAACCTAGGTTCAAAGTTTTTTCATAATAAGATATTTAGAGAGAGATCACATTCACTTAACTTTTATTATAGTACATTGTTGTGATTTTGATAGCCCTGTTTTAAAGTTATTATTATTAATCACACTGTGCCTGATTTATAAAGTAAATGTATCATATGTATGTATGTGCAGGGAAATCTTTGTGTATGGAAGGCTCCCTATTATTGGTGGTTCTGGTATCCACTAGGGGTCTTGGAATACATCCAATGTGGATAAGGGGGACTGCTGTAGTAGCATTTGGATTTAGGCCATATAATAGGTGTGTATTGCGAGTCTTTGTTTTAATTTGCACTTGCATTTATATATGTCTTTCAAGATATGATGTTGAGTGTTCATATGCGTAGTCGCCATCAATATAGTTTCCTTGGAAACTGTTCAGAGTTTTGCTCAATTTTAAAATGTTATCTGTTCCTTGTTGAATTTTAAGGGTTGCATGCATATTCTAAAGCAGGTATTATATTAGAGTCATATTTTGCAAATATTTTCTCCTGGTCTCTGGCCCCAGCTCTTTTGCAGACCTAACACTCGCATCAGTGCATACATAGGTTTTCCTGGGAAGAGAAATGAGGAGTTGCTGAGTACAGTGGGTTCAGACTACAGGAGACTTGGTTGACTGAGGATGATGTGACTTATGTATTTGTGTATGTTCTTGTGTATTTATGAATGCTCTCTGTGTGCGTGAATAACAAATATTAATAATTATCAAAATCATTTATTATTGGGCCTCCCTGGTGGCGCAAGGGGTTGAAACAGCCTCTGCAGCACGAGTTTGATCCCCGGCCAGGGAGCTACCCACATGGCACAGAAGACCTCTCCTGACTTGCCCGCTGCTCCCCTCAGCAGTGTATTTCAGTTAATCTGCCTGTTCTGTTCTCCTCTCTGTCTGTGGTTAATCCTCTCACCACCCTGCACCTCTGGCCTGTACCCCAGTTCTTGTATGCATAAATAAATACGTCTTCAAAAAATCATTTATCAAAAATAAATCACACGACAATCCCTGACAGTATCAAACACTTGGCAGATCTCCCTCGGTCACATGTTCTCAGGCTCTGACCTTCTACTCCACCATCTTGTCACTGAATGATTTTGCCTTAGAATTTCCACCTGACCAAGGTGGGCTGGGTGGATGGACACACCTTCCCACCGAAAAGAGCTAAAAACGTGAGATGTGTGAGATACAAAACCATCTTCTTAAAAGCCTTAGTACTGACAATCTAGTAATAAACAGCCACACCCAGAAGGGGAGGGCGTGGGCCCCACAGACAACAGCTTCCTGAGGAGGGAGGAAGGGCTGAGAGGGCCCAGCCCAGAGCAGACACAGAGCCCAGCCCTTCAGCTCTGTGCTGAGCCTGAGGACCACCACCCGCCCTCCCTTTCAAAACTTAGGAAGACTTGCTTTATTCTATGATGTGCGTGTGTGTGTGTGGGGGGAATGTATGTATATACACACATGTATGTGTTACATTTCTTAGGATATCATGTGTGCTTACTATAAAAATACAAAATGTTATAAACAAAGCATTTTCAGACCAGGAGGGAGTAAAAAACACTATCAGCTGTTGTTAACAATGGGAAACAGAAAGGCATTGAGGGCCTCCCCGGTGGCACAGCGGTTGAGCACTGGGTTGCGAAGCCGCCCCGCGGCCTCTGCAGCACTGGTTCCTGATCCCCGGCTGCTCCACGGCCACCGGAGGAGGGTCCCACATGGCGCGCAGACTTCTCCTGCCGCCCGCTGCTCCCCTCAGCAGTGTACTTCGGTCCTTTGCCTGCTCTGCTCCCCGCTCTGGCTCTGGTGAATTCTCTCACCCTCCCGCGCTTCTGACTGTACCCAGTGCTTGTATAAACAAACAAACAAACAAACAAACAAATAAATAAATAAATACATGCCTCTATTAAAAAAAAAAAAAAAAGAAAGGCATTGAAAGGAGGAGATGACCTCAAGTTTGGAAATGACCCCTCATTTTCAACCTTCCCCAGGCAGCACCTGAGTCCTTCCCCAGCACCTGAGCCCAGAGGAGAAGGGCTGACCAGGAGGGAGCAGGAGGGAGGGAGCAGGGACGTGGACAGAGACCACCCTGTCCAGGATGAAGGGCTGTGGGGTCCTGGCCAGGGAGGCTCAGGAAAGGAGGGAGCATCTCCTCAGGCCTGAGAGAAAGAATCTAGAGACAAAGTAAACCCAGTTTCTGATGACATTGCAAACATTTAAGTCACTTCTGCCATAACCCAATACAATGGCCCAAGGAAACTAATTTGTATGAGGTGAATTAGACCTTTTTTTTTTTTTGAAGTGGAGTTGGAGAGTACTACCATCTTTACTTAAAGGGATGAATGACAAAAACTATCATTATTTAGATTTGGTTAACCTGTACACACTTTCTAGAAAATGAATGTGAGCTGTCACTTTAAGAAAATCAACTGACAGATGATAAATGATAGTAATTAGCTGCCTTGATAAAGTACAAGCTCCAAGTGCAAACCAGATAGTGGAAAATTGTGTCCCATCGCTGTAAACTTGACAACTTCCAGTAGCCACTTACTTTGTCTGGGGTCTTTGGAACATAAAACACACGATTTTCAAAATTTGGTTCTAGAATAATTAACATAAATATCATATAACATAGTAGAACAATGCATCACTTTTTAAAATCACGTATTAATTCAAGATTAATAATCAGGAGAGGAGGGGTCCAGCAAAGGTATAGGGTGTGTTTCTCAGGGTCTCAGCCCTTTGGGCTGTGTCTGGGGTGGGTAAGGTTACTGTTGGGGATGCCCCATCTATGGGCAGTTTCTCTCCTCTCTTTCACAATCTGGCTCAAGCCCTCCTTCAGCATACAGTGACTCACCCCCAGTTCTCACTCCCCATTGCCTGCAGGGTCTCCAGAGCAGCCAATCAGCATCACAGCTGTGCCAGTCTGGACTCAAGAGTCTCCCCCAGACCCAAAAGCACCAGTCATGAGGCCCCCAACCCTCCTGCTGCTGCTCTCAGGGGCCCTGGCCTTTGACAGAGACCTGGGCTGGTGAGTGCGGGCTCTGGAGAGAAAAGGTCACTGAGGAGGGGGGAACCAGAGGAACCCTGGGGGGGGGGGCAGGACCCCAGAAAAGGCTCAATTCCCCCATTGCTGACCCTGTTATGCCCCTTGACTCCACCCTGTCCTGACCCCTTTCTGTCCCTCCAACTTCCCTCCTCCTTTTGTTCCATTGAGTCTCCAGCCTTCTATTTTTTTTTAAGATTCACTTATTAATGCATGCAAGAACTGGGGTACACGCCAGAGGTGGGGCTCGCGGGGGTGAGAGGATACACCAGAGACACAGTGGGGAGCAGAACAGGCAGATTGACTGAAATACACTGCTGAGGGGAGCAGCGGGAGAGACAGGAGAGGTCTGCTGTGCCATGTGGGCCGCTCCCTGGCCAGTCAGGGATCAAACTAGTGCTGCAGTGCCTGTGTGTGGCTTCATAGGTTGCTTCTTAACCCTTTGAGCCATCAGGGAGGCCCGCTCATCCTCTGCCCCATTTCAGTCTCAGGAGCCCCCTCGCCCCCCTCCCCTCCCGCCCCATCTCCCCAGCCCGGGTCTCCCTCCCGCCCCCAGGCTCCCACTCCCTGAGCTATTTCTACACCGCGATGTCCCGGCCCGGCCTCGGGGGCCCCGAGGAGCCCCGCTTCATCGCCGTGGGCTACGTGGACGACACGCAGTTCGTGAGGTTCGACAGCGACTCCCTGGCCCGAGTGTGGAGCCGCGGGCGCCCTGGGCGGGGCAGGAGGGGCCGGAGGACTGGGAGGAACAGACGCGGACCGCGAAGGGCAACGCGCAGACGTTCCCAGAGAACTTGCTTGTCCTGAGCTGCTGCTACAACCAGAGCGCGGCCGGTGAGCGGGGCGGGGCGGGGCGCGGTCACCGCCCCCATCCCCACAGATGGGCGGGGAACCCCCGATTTCGGTCAGGGCGTTACCCCAGAAGGTGTACCCGCCCTTCCCTCCACCCAGGGACAGGCCACAAGACGTTGAACTGCCAGGCTGCAGTTGAGGTTGAGGTGTATTCCAGCGGGGGTGGGGGTGGGGGGTGCGGGCGCGGTGACCGCGGGGTGACGCGGGGCAGGGACAGGGTCCACACCCTCCAGGAGATGTTTGGCTTCCAAGTGGGGCCCCATCGGCGCCCCTCCTGTGGGTACCATCAGTCCCCCTTACGCGCAGGTTACATGCCCTGAAGGAGGACCTGCGCTGCTGTTACAAATGACAGGTTTCCCAGATGAGACTTAACAAGCTTGTCTTTCCTGTATTTCTTGCAGTTCCCCCCTTGTCTGACAGGTTGTCTTTATGGCCAGGCCTCCCGGAGGAGCATTAACAAGTCATCAGCTATGGAAGAAAAGCAAGCTGGTGCCCACTTTTCTCCGTGCCCACCACTTCCCGCACCCCCTCCCCTTTGCAGACCCTCGCCCATCTGCCCCTTTTTCCCCCTTTGTATAAATACCCCTGCCCTCTGCCAAAGAGCAGGACGGTGGTCTTTCAGACATGCGTCTGCTGCCCTCCTCATTTGTCCACGAATTAAACTACTTTCCTTCTCCTCAAACTCTTTCTTTTTATTGGCTGAGGGAATCTGAGGATGGCGTTCAACATCACCTGCGCTCCTGGATCAAGGTGGACAGGGCGCCTCAGATCACTGGGGAATAAGTGGGAGGCAGCTGGAGCAGCTGAGCAATACACAAACTCCCTGGAGGGTACTTGCATGGAGGGGCTGCGCAGACACCTGGAGAATGGCAAGAAGGGGTAAGAGATAAGAGGAGAGGCAGGTCTCCCAACCTCCCTCAGGCCAGCACCCTCAAGGAGGATAGAGTGAGTCATGGTCACAGCAGCGCCCTCTCTCTGGTCAGGGAAGGAGGAGCCCCCTGGGTTTCCTGACTTGCCTAGAGGACCCTAATTTGCCTCACAACAGTTAAGGAATCCAGTGTCTCCTGAGCCTGAGGAGAGACCAGCCCTGAATTCACCCTTTAAGGAATGTTTTGAACCCGGCAGCCCTCTTGGGAACCATCAGTTTTTCTCTCAGGGTCTTGTGATTGATCTAAGGACATTTTTCTGATCTTGTTAGGGGGAAAAGGCAGTCCCAAAGCAAATTCCATACAGGCTTTGTGGACTCCACCCCCACCCCAGGTCAAAGCCAAAGACACTGGGAACTCCAAATCCCATCACCACCAAAGGGAAGGTGGCTGGGACCTGAGGGTGGGGTTAAGCAGCCAGGTGGATACAAAAGGCAGACACATGGGCTTTGGGGGCTCTCTCCATTTTGGGGCCCTCGGCCAGCTCGCGGCGTCCGTCTAGCTCTGAGAGTGACTTTGGGGTTTCCAGGTCGTCGTGAGACAGGGCAAGCTAGGGTTATTAGGCAGTTTTAGGGACAGTGCAGGAGGGGACCTCTGAAGAATTTAGGGAGGCTTCAGAGATAAGGACAACCAAAGAAATATAACCAATTCCATTGGGAAAAACAAACATGCCAGGACCAAGGACAACATTGTTAATGCTGGTCCTGGTTTCCTTCAGGTGGTAAAGGGAGGCGGAGATTGGAGAAATGGAGAGTGGTTTAATTTATGGTCACATTAGAAGGGCAGCTGTTTAACTTCAATGCAGGGATGCCCATCCAGAAGACTGGGCCATAAAGATAAAGATACAACAAATGGGGAAAGACAGACCTACTAGATAAGGAATGTGAAGATCCCTACTCAGTAGCAAATTCAGTGAGACAGCCGAAAACTGACCAATCACAGAGAGACTGGTAAAGTTTTAGAATAATGAGGGAAAAAAGGTCTATATTCCCTGAAACACAATTCCACTTTGGCTTCCTTGCCCCTCCCAGGCCTGGTTCCCTGGCCTGGGAGTCCCACTTTATTTCTGTTCTTTTTCTCCTCAATAAACTTTTTCTTTCTATAAAGGAACCTGCCTCTTCTCGCTTGCTTGCCTGAGCGTCTGCGAAGTTCCTGCTGCGGCTTCGTGAGACACCAACCCTGGGGGGTCTAGTGGCTGGGGCTCAGCGCTGCCCTGCAGCCTGAAATCCGATCCCGGCTGGGAGACTAGGCCTGACAATTCCGGTATCAGTCGGATTGGGTAGGACGCATTAAAGACTTTATTTCCCTATTTTCTCCCTGAGTTGTACATTTTCCTTATTTCTTTTTCTCTTGTAAATAAACCTTTTATTAACCCTTTTGCGTGTGTCTGTAGTGGAGTATTCATAAGTCCCTTTAAAGCGCGCGGGTGAGGACCCACAGCCAGGAACCCGTTTAATATCGGGGTTGATAAAGTCTTTAATGCGTCCTACCCGATCCGATGACCTGGAAACCCCAAAGTCACTCTCAGAGCTAGACGGACGCCGCGAGCTGGCCGAGGGCCCCAAAATGGAGAGAGCCCCCAAAGCCCATGTGTCTGCCTTTTGTATCCACCTGGCTGCTTAACCCCACTCTCAGGTCCCAGCCACCTTCCCTTTGGTGGTGATGGGATTTGGAGTTCCCAGTGTCTTTGGCTTTGACCTGGGGTGGGGGTGGAGTCCACAAAGCCTGTATGGAATTTGCTTTGGGACTGCCTTTTCCCCCTAACAATCTGACTCCTGCTTTTCTGAGTCCCCAGGTCAGGAGCAAAAGTCTGTGCTCTTCTCCTTAGTGAACTGCATCCTCCTATCCAGAGCTGTCACCCTAATTCTAGACTTTCTAAGAAATAAGAGATTTTCCCAGAATCCCCAGACCAGGCTGGTTTCTAGATTTTGTGCTTCCTCTTCTAAACCCACTGCCCTGTCCATTCTCAGAACGGTCACATGAGTGTTTTTCAGGCCCATGAGGGAAAAACCCAGAGTGTGGAAGTTCTCACCTTTCTTCCCAGTGGCCCCAAGGATACACGTGACCCACCACCCCACCTCTGACCAGAAGGTCACCCTGAGGTGCTGGGCCCTGGGATTCTACCCTGCAGACATCACCCTGACCTGGCAGTGAGAATGGGAGGACCTGACCCAGGACACGGAATTGGTGGAGACCAGGCCTGGGGGGAATGGAACCTTCCAGAAATGGGCAGCTGTGGTGTTGCCTTCTGGAGAGGAACAGAGATACACTTGCTATGTGCAGCTGCTGGAGCCCCGAATGCTGGCTTGGGGTAAGGAGGGAACGTGAGCTCAGAGCTTCTTGGGATCAGGAGCCCTTCTGGAGACCTTCAGAGCATCATATGGGGGCCTGAGGCTCAGAGTCTCCCCTTCCCTTCCCTTCCAGTGCCCCCTCCTCAGCCCACCATCCCTACTGACTCTACTGACTCCACTATGGACATCATTGCTGCCCTGGTTCTCCTTGGAGCTGTGCTCACTGGGGCTGCGGTGGCTTCAACTGTGACGTGGAGGAAAAAGCTCAGGTAGGGAAGGGAGTGGGGGATCTTGTCCACTGGGGGCTGTCATGTCCCAGGGAGAACTTGCCCTACCTGGTATGGGAAGTACCACCCACACGCTTGTGTTGCCCAGTCTGGAGCTGATTGCCAACTGTGTTTTGTAAAGCATTTTTGAAAACAAATCACATTGTTCACCTTGATAATTCTGGTGATGGACCCTGATCCCAGCAAATGACAGAGGGGAAGGTCCCTGCTGAGGGCAGATCAAAGGAGGCAGTTGGTCCAGTCCCCTCTACTTGGGGATTCCTTTAGGACTTCATAGCCTGACTCCTCTTTGGTCTCATGGGATGCTTCCTCCCACAGGAGTACAAGGAGAAAGCTACACCCAGGCTGCAGGTAAGTGTAGATCAGGGCTTTGGTCCCTGAGCCCCTGGGGACAGTGTAGAATGAGCCCATGGGGGAGTCACCCCCATCAGTCCCTTCCATGGTCTCATCTCTCTATGGATTTGACCAGGTTCCATTTTGTTCTCCCCCAGGCAGTGACAGTGCCAAGGAATCTGATGTGTCTCTCACAGCTGCTAGAGCTGAGGAGGCCTGTGGTGGGAGGGCCTAGGGCAGAGAGGATGGGCCAGGTTATAGGGAAGCTGGGAGGGGGACATTCTGAGGATGCGGTGGACTATGGAGAATGTTGACACTTATGTGTTTCTTTGAACTTTTTATGATCCTTTTCTTTCTCAGTGAGCCAGATGCCTTGTGGGGGCTGAGAGATGCAGGATTTCTTCTCACCCCCACTTTGTAACTTCAAGATCCTCTGATTTCCTTTGATGCAAAAGGCATCGGAATGTGTCTCTGTTCTTACTAGATAATGTGAGGAGGTGGGGAGACTGGCCCAGCCCTGCCCACCAGGCCTCTCCCCACACTGATCTGTGTCTCTCCCTGATGACTTTCCTGCTCTAGCAGAGGCAGCTTGGTCTGCGTCTACCCCAGTTTTTGTGTTTTCCTCAAGAATAGTAACTGTTTCCTCTTTGAAATAATAATTTGAGTTCTGGAATTACTTTTTGTAAGCTTGCCCAATGGGTTTGGTGGGCTAATAAAAATGATTTCCAAAATTTGAGATGAAATAAATGGGAAACCTTTCAGAATCACGTGTTTGCTGTGCTGAGTCTGTGCAGGTGGGGGCGGGAGAGGCTGTGAGGAGCCGAGGGGGACGGGGCCTGTGTCCAGTCAGTGCTCAGTGCGTCGTGGGCTTTGATGTGGTCACTCCTCAGCGGTCATCTCTCTGCTCCTTTGTCCTTGTCCTTCAGGAGCACCTGTTCCAGTAGGGCCTGTGATCACAGGGACTCAGACACCACCTGGTCTTGTGCTGTCATGTCTGGGCTGGGAGTTTTTGTGTGGCCGGGTCAGCCCAGGCTCAGCTCAGGGTCTAGCCTTTCTATGGATTCCTATTTGCTTCTTGTTTTATTTTATTTTATTTTATATATATTTTTTGCTTTATGCCTGTTCTCCTTAATGTTTAGAGACCAGGCCTCATGTCCTCTTGGTCCCTGTCTCTGACAAGGGCGGAGTATCTCTCATTGTCCTCACAAAGCTCAGGGTATCCCCTGCACACAGGAGTCCGGTGAGATGGATATCCAGACTCATCTGATTTTTGGCCTCATTTAGGACTTTTTTCTGGATTATCATTTTTATCTTTTCCAACAAAATCCTGGTATTACTAGAGAGGAAGATTTGATAACTTTGTTATGGATTGAGGTAAGTTACTGATAGATTTCTATTTTTCTTCACAGCTTCTCCCTGTAACCCTGCCCTTAAATGTAGTAACCCCAGTGCTGGTGCTAATCGCGACCCATGGATTGATGGAGTCAGTTACCGTCATAGTTGGCTGAAAAATGGGACCCATAAGCCTAGGAACTTGGGTATCCCTGGTGGCCCAGAGGTAAGTCTCAGCACTGTCACTTCTACACCCTGAGTTCAATCCCCAGACAGCGAGCTAACTAATTCTAGACTTTCTAGGAATAAGAGATTTTCCCAGAATCCACAGATCAGGCTGGTTTCTAGATTTTGTGCTTCCTCTTCTAAACCCACTGCCCTGTCCATTCACAGAATGGTCACATGAGGGTTTTTCAGGGCCCATGAGAGAAAAACCCAGAGTGTGGAAGTTCTCACCCCTCTTCCCAGTGGCCCCAAGCATACACATGACCCACCACCCCACCTCTGACCAGAAGGTCACCCTGAGGTGCTGGGCCCTGGGATTCTACCCTGTAGACATCACCCTGACCTGGCAGTGAGAATAGGAGGACCTGACCCAGGACACAGAACTCTCCTGTTTTGCTCGTTGCTCCCTTTAGTAGTATATTTCAGTCAGTCTGTCTGTTCTGCTCCCCACTCTGTCTCTGGTGAATCCTCTCACCAACCCCACCCTGCACTTCTGACCTACACCCCAGTTCTTTATGCAATAATAAATCTTAAAAAAAAAGTATGAACCCCTTTTCAAAAGAAATACACCTCTGTAATGTGCCACAATAGTAAGACACGTTCTCTGGAACAGGGAGATGCTCTACACTGTTGACACAACTGATGTTGCACCAGATGTGTGACTGACTGTATATGCAACTAGGAAACCTCAATGCACTAAAAACATGCACAACTTGCGGCCTGTGGAGAGTGTGTCCTAGTGAGGAGAGGAGACTGGGGACTGTGTGACAGTAGATCAGACAGTCAACCACGCATGCCTGGTTAGAAGTGGGTAAAGGATGTGGGAAGGTGACAGGATGGTTTTCTTCCCAGCATGGTAAATTGGGGGTCTCACCAAAGTGACCTTTGAGAAAAAGCTGATGGACACGTTGCCCACAGGGATGTGATGTGCAGAGAAGTTCAGTCCAGGCAGGACAACCTCCAGGGCAGATGCCCGAGCAGGAATGTGTCTGTGTGACAAGCATGAGCAGGGAGGCCAAGGGCTGGAACAGAGGCCAACTGAGATGGGATCTGTGTGCACTCAGAACATTCAGCCTGAGGATTTGGGAGGGTTTGACTCACTGAGTAAGATGTGGGGTGACAAGAACTTCTGAGCAGATATACACCTTTGGGACTTCTCTCTGGTAGCCTCAGTCTGGCTGCTGTGCAGCAATGAAGGATGAGAGGTGGGAAGAGAAGTGGAGAAAACCAGTGCCGGTCCCAGGACACAAAGTTTCGTGGCTTTGTTAGGTTGTGTGCAGGGAAAAAATAGGAAGTGATAGGACTGTGCATAGTTAGAGATGGACATTACAGTGTTTCCTACTACTGGGCTGTGAGAAAGGGGTCAAGGATGACACTCAGTGTCTCAGACTGTGCAGGCAGAGAGGCAGAGCCTCAGTGACATAGGGAGACCCCAGAAGACCCATATGTGGGCATCCTAGGCACTCAATTTAGGAAAGTTGAATCAGATCTATTAGAATTGAAAGTGATGTTGGCAATTTGACAGACAAGTCTGGGGCACAGGTGAAATGTGTGAGGTAAGAAATAGATCTGGGAGGTGATGTGATGTCAATGATATTTAAAGTCTTGAGCATGTAAGGGTCACCCAGAAAGTGATGACTATGCAAGAGAAAGGAGCAGAATTGAACCCGATTCCACAGTGATGAGTAATCGGAGCAGAAACCCCCCAGAGCTGACTGCACAGTCTGACACATGGAGAAGATATGGATACCAGGGAGCCCCCCACTTCAGTGAGAAGAGGAGTCACCTGGACTCTCATGAAGACTCAGAAGGTCTAGAACTGGGCCTAAGAGTCTTATTTGTCCCCTCCCCCACTGTAAGGATGGAGAATTTAGGGCTGATGCTCAGGAAGAGGCACTTTCATCCCTGGAAGCAGGAACAAGTAACAGGGACTCTGGAGTCCAAGTTCCCATGCAAAGAGATTGAGGGAAACTGGGGAATCCAGATCTGGGGGAGCAACTGTTATGACCTAGACACCTGGCTCTTCCCTGAGGCCTGTATCCATAGTTAGCCACTAAGGGGTCAATTTGAGGACCCCTAATGTGACAGTGGACCTGACTTGCTACTGGGAGCCCAGGGGGCCCAGGGGCCCCTGGTTTCAGGTCTTATGTCCAGTTCTTTTATCCATTTTGAGTTGATTTTTGTGCACAGTGAGAGGTAGTGGTCTAGTTTCATTTTTTTGCACGTGGAGGTCCAATCATTGAACAAACTATCCGTGTTCCATTGGATATTCTTTGCTCCTTTGTCAAAGATTAGTTGTTCATATAAGTGTGGCTTTATTTCTGGGCTCTCTATTCAGTTCCATTGGTCTGTGTGTCTGTTTTTGTTCCAATACCAAAGTGTTTTAAATTATTATGGCTTTGTAGTATAGCTTGAAGTTTGGAAGTGTGATACCTCCTTTCTCCTTTGTTTTCATCAGAAGGACTTTTGCTATTCGTGGCTTTTTGTGGTTCCATATGAATTTTATCAGTATTTATTCTATTTCTTTGAAGAATGTCATTGGGATTTTTATTGGAATAGCATTGAATCTGTATATTGCTTTTGGGAGGATGGCCATTTTAATAATGTTGATTCTTCCAATCCATGAGCAGGGGATGTCTTTTCATATCTTTGTGTCTTCTTTAATTTCTTTTAACAGTGTTTTATAATTTTCTTTGTATAAGTCTTACACTTCTTTTGTGATGTTTATTCCCAAGAATTTGATTTTTTTGGTTTCAATTATAAAAGGGATGGTTTTCTTGCTTTCTTCTTCTTCCGATTGATTGTTTGTGTATAGGAAAGCTACTGATTTTTGTGTTGATTTTGTATCCTGCTACTTGACTGAACTGATTGATTATTTTCAGTAGTTTTTCTGTGGAGTTTTTAGGGTTCTCTATGTATATTATCATATCGTCTGAAAATAGTGATAATTTGACTTCTTCTTTCCCTATTTGGATTCCTTGTATGTCTTTCTCTTGTCTTATTGCCCTGGCTAGGACCTCTAGTATTATATTGAAGAGCAGTGGTGAGAGAGGACAACCTTATCTTGTTCTTGATCTTCAAGGAAAGGCCTTCAGCTTTTTGCCATTGAGAATAATGTTGGCAGTGGGTTTGTTGTATATGGCTTTTATCATGTTAAGTTATGTTCCTTCTATCCCAAGAATTTCAAAGGCCTTCATCATAAATGGATGTTGGACTTTGTCGAACACTTTCTCAGCATCTATTGATATGATCATATGGTTTTTAGTTTTCTTTTTGTTGATGCGTTGGATTACACTAATTGATTTTTGTATGTTGAACCATCCTGGTGCCCCTGGGATGAATCCCACTTGATCGTGGTGTACTATCCCTTTGATGCATTGTTGGATTCTGTGGGCAAGGATTTTGTTGAGGATTTTTGCATCAATGTTCATTCGGGAGATTGGCCTGTGATTTTCTTTTTCTTAAAAAAAAAATATTTATTTATGCATACAAGAGCTGGGGTATAGGCCAGAGATGGAGGGGGGGCGGTGAGAGGATTCACCAGAGACAGAGTGGGGAACAGAACAGACAGACTGACTGAAACACACTGCTGAGGGGAGCAGCTGGTGAGGCAGGAGAGGTCTGCTGCACCATGTCAGTTGCTCCCTGGCCAGCTGGGGATCTAACTCATGCTGCAGGGGCTGCGGATTGCTTCATAGTGCAGCGCTTAACCCCTTGTGCCACCAGGCAGGGCCCAGCCTGTAATTTTCCTTTTTTGTGCTGTCTTTGTTTGAGTTTTGATATTAATGTAATGCTGGCTTTGTAGAACGTATTTGGTAGTATTCCTTCTTTTTTCAATTTTTTGAAAGAGTTTGTGTAGGATAGGCACTAATTCACTGCTGACCATTTGGTAGAATTCATTTGTGAAGCTGCCTGGTCCTGGGCTTTTGTTTTTGGGGATTTTGTTTTTGTTTGTGCTTTGATTACTGCCTCAATTTTGCTGCTTGTAATTGGTCTGTTCAGTTGTTCTATTTCTTCTTTTGAACCATTTCTTTTCTTATTGTTGGTTTGTAAGACTTCTTTTATAATATCAATTCCAGATACAAGTCCTTTCTCAGATACATGATCTGATTTGTAATCATTTCTCCCATTCTGTGTCTACAGTCTTGAACTTACACAGTAGTATACACTAGTGACAAAGGCATAGATATATTTTTCTGGAAAGAGAAATGATAAATCGCTAACTGGTTTTGAGCAGATGACCTGGCTCACTGGTGGGAAGTGCTGTTACTCATTTAACTATGTAAATTCCTTTTTTAAAAAAAGATTTATTATTTATTTATACAAGAACTGGGGTACAGGCCAGAGGTGTGGGGGCTGAGAGGATTCACCACCGACAGAGTGGGGAACAGTCAGGCAGATCAACTGAAGTATACTCCTGGGAGTAGCTACGTAAATTCTTGAGTATAAAATTTTCTTCTGTGCTCATGAAATAATACTTTCAAAATTAAATCCTACTAAAATCCCTTCAACTGCATCACGTCCTAATCACATGCTAAGCCCAGAGCGGCACGTCTGCCGCATGATAAATCTGCTCATCATCATCTCTCATGGCCCATAGCTGCATGTTGGGGTCACTCTTGGTGGTGTCCATGCTGTGGGCTTTAGGCAAATGTGCAATGACGTGGACACTATATTGTGTCCTACACAGCAGACTCACTGCCTTCAATATTTTCTGTGCTCCAAGGAAAAAAACTCAAAGATAGACTAGTGGAGACACATCAAACCGCAAGCTCCTGCCCAGCTAAGGACACTGTCATTGCATGTAAAGACACCCTATGGGGTGGGAGAAATAATTTGCATATCATACATCAGGATATATGAAGAATACATATAACTCAACCACCAGAAACAACCCAATCAAAAATGTGGAGAAGAGCTGAGTGGACATGTCTCCAAAGAAGATGCAGATGGCCACAGGCACATGGAAAATGCTCCCATCACACGTCATCAGAGGATGCAGGTCAGAACCACAATGAGACACCACCTCACACCTGTGAGGTGGCTCATATTAAAAGGACCAGGGGACTGAGGTGATGGTGCACGGGTGCCTCGGGAAAGGAAATTCTATGGGGACTCAATCTGAGGGGGGGGGGGAGCAAATATTTTTTAAAAAATGTAAAAAATGATAAATGTTTAAAAATAAATAAAATTTATTCCTATTTAATAAAAAAGAATTAATTTTACAGAAAATATATTTTCTTGACTCAAAGAATGGTAGAAAATGATGAAATGGAATAAAAAGGACATGCGACAATGAAAAAGATCAGAATGATAAACTCAAATCTGACCATATCAAAAATCATGTTAAAGTAAATTAACTAAAATTCCAATCAAAAGCCTGAGATTCTCAGACTGGATAATATCAAGGAGACTTGTAGCACCCTTGTCTCTGTGTGCTAGAAAGACTTTCTATACAAACAAAAATTGTTAAAAGTGAAAGGGTGAAAGAACGTGCCAAGGAAATAGAAAGTAGGACAAACCTTTACTGTCATTGCAGGAAGTGACAGCAGTGAGGCCTGAGGGACACAGACAGCAGGTCCCTGCCTCTGTGTCCAGTGGGGAGAAGAGACAGACAGGTCTGGGCTCCCAGGGCTAGGGAGGGAGAAGGGCCACCCTCCAGGCTCCAGGGGTGGGTGGTCTCACCCTGGGCAGGAGGGTCCATCCTTGGCATCTTGATTATGGAGTGCAGACACCTGGCCCTGGAGCGGGGACACATTTTGTTCTGGGGAAAAGTTAGTCAGTAATCTAGCCTCCGACTCCTGGCTGATCTTGTGGCCACCTCAGACTCCAGCTCCTCCCTCGTCTGCTCTCTGTGCTCCAGAACAGGGAGTCCAAGGCCTGGGCCATTCCTCCTGGTGCAGGGGCTCCTGAGACAGTGTCCAAGGGCTGAGGGCTGTGAGCTGAAATGGACTCACACTGGGCTGTGAGGTCCCAGCACAGGGAGGCACTCTGTAACCCAGGTTAGGGCCCAGGGCTGTCCCCTGCAGGTGGCACAGGCCTTGTGCTCCCCCTCTCTGGGCTCCTTGATTCTCCCTGTCACCCCAGCATAAGAGAGCTTTGCTCTGAAAAGAGGGGAACCCCTTCATCACCACTCTCCTCTTCCTTTCCTGTCTTTACCTTGAATGTGAATCACCCCACACCTGCAGTGCACAGATGCCTTTAACTTCAGTGCAGTTACCGTTCAGTTACAGAGCTGTCAGCACAGAACCAGCAGATCCTGCACCCCCACACTCATGTCTCCCAGGGAGTCACCGCTGGATGCTAACACAGACTCTACAGCCAGAGCCCCTGGGCCTCTCCCACACAGACCACCCCTTCCACCCTGTGTCCCCTGAGCTGACCCTTCCCTGCCCCCACCCTCTCTGGCTCCTCCCCCTCCCTTCCTTTTGGCCTCCCTCCCCTAAAGCCCCTATTTCCTCCCTCTCCTCACTCCTCCAGGAGCCTCCCCTCTTGCTAGCCCCTGACCCTGGGGGTCTCTCCTCCTGCCCCTCTTCCAGCACATCCTAGGGATGAAGAGTTTAGAGTTGATTCCCTGGGGAAGGAGCCTTCAGCCCTGGAGTTGAAGGCATTAGGGGCTACATCCGTGGAGGTGGATGAGTCCTAGGGCAAGTTAGGGATGATTAGGCAGCCTCAAGGCAGTGCAGGGACTCCAGGAGGGTTAAGGAAGACTCCAGAGATAAGGACAACAGATTCCAAAGGGCATCATCAAACACCCCAGGACTAGGGGCAACAGGACATTCTTGGACAAGGACGATAAATAAAAAAGACAAGGGCTGGGACACAGACACTCAGTTCTGGGCACAGAGACATTCAGGCAGGGAGTGAGACAAGGAGAACTAACCAATCACAAAGAGCCTGGTGGGGCTTTAGAGTAATCAGGGAAAGAAGGTCTATGTTCCCTGAGGCATGGCCCACTTGGGCTTCCTTGCCCCACCCTGACCGGGTTCCCTGGCCTGGGAGTCCCACTTTATTTCTCTTCCTTTTCTCCTCAATAAGCTTTTCTTTCTCTAAACAAATCTGCGTCTTCTTGCTTGCTTGCCTGAGCATCTGGGAAGTTCCTGCTGCGGCTCCCTGAGACCCCAGCCCGTGGGGGTCTAGTGGCTGGGACTCTGTGCTTCCCCTGCAGCCTGGGATCGTTCCTGGTGGGAGACAGGGCCTGAGAACCTGCAATTCCTGTATCATTACCTTAAAGCCTTTAGATTTTATGGGGACGTGAGCTAGCATTGAGAGGAACAGATTTTCTGGGGTCTCAGGTGTCCCCGTGACCTTTAAGTCTTTTCTGCTTCACGCCTTAACTGTTTTAGATCAGCCCAGGGCAGTGGAGCAGATGCTCCATGGAGCCACAAGATCCACCTTCCTCCTTTTCTGCCCCCTCCCGGGAGGCAGATGTGAGGTCAGGTCATAGTCAGGGGATCTACATGGAGGCGAAGAAACGCTAGGAGTCAGCTCTCCCATACGAACAATTAATAAGGAAAAAAAGCGGCAGGTCCCTGCGAGAACCGGGACACGCGAGATAAACTGGCGACGCGGCAAACTGCCCGGAGAGGGAAGTTGCACTAACAGGACGCGAAGAGGGGGCAGCAGAACCTGCGCCCCTGCCCCACCCATCACACCGGCTCCCTCCACCTGCAGAAGGGAGAAGAAAACAAAAACAACCTGGGAAGCAGCAGGCTGGTGAGCAGAAAGGAACGGCTGCAGGCGCCACGCCCTGGGGCCAGGAACCGTGGGGGTCCCCACCCAAACCGCCTAGGTGGTGAGGGTCGGGCACTGGGTAATAACAGACTCGGCGTCCCCTGAACAAGGCGGGGACCCCGCGGAGACCCGCAACAGCCAAGGGCAGCCGGGAGCGCGGGAAGCACCGGCGGGTGCGGCTGCCCAGGTCCCCGCCCGCGCCCTGGGGCTGTGGGGAGACGCGGAGCCGGCGCTGGGGTGAGTCTCCGGAGCGGGGTTCACCCCTGGTGGACCCAACTCCTGGTCAGGGCGCACAGCCCGTGCCTGCGGGGACAGACAGCAGCGCCCCCACCCCGGGTCAGGGATGGCACAGGCCCGGCCAGTCTGGTTCTGGCTGCGGGGTCGGTGCAAACCGCAGGTCTCGTCCAGACTCAGCAGGAGTGAGATGCCTGCACAGCTGTTAGGGCGGAGGGGTTGCAATCTAGGAATTTTAAAGTAAATGGAGCTTTATATATTTTTTCCCGTGGGGGCAACTTGCTCTCTAGAGTCCCCTTTTTTGTTTTATAAGTTGTGTTTCAAGGAGCCTGTTGGCTCTTTTAACTGTAGTTTGTCCTGTAGGGCTACAGGGGCGCCAGACACATGTTGAATATTCCACACTAGCAGGAAAGACTTACAAGGCTTTGGAGATGTAAGCAGGTCCATTATTAGTTGTTTGTTTGTTTGTTTTAAGATTTATTTATTTATGCATACAAGAACTAGGTCTAGGTCAGAGGACTCACCTGAGACAGTGTGGGGAACAGAACAGGCAGATCCACTGAAATACACTGCTGAGGGGGCAGCAGGGGAGTCAGGAGAGGTCTGCTGCGCCATGTAGTTATCTCCCTGGCTGGGGATCCAACTCGTGCTGCAGTGGCTGCAGACAGCTTCATAGTTTGTGTCTTAAGCCCTGGTGCCGCCAGGGAGGCCCTCCGTTATCACAAAAAAACACCTTTGCAGCGATGGGAATCCCATCACAAATGAAAACTGATAATGGATCATGTTTTTTGACATGTTTATCAGTTTACCCTGTTTGGGCCAAGGCTTGGATTAATGCAGAATAGGTGTCTTTAGAGCATGAATGTAACGTCTATTTGTCAAATATCATTACGTTTCAAACCTGGGGCTTCTGTATTATTTCTACCTTTTGTAGCAGTGGCTAGAAGAGCCAATGGATTGTTAATTTGGAATTTGGTTATGATGCCCTGTCCCCATAGAGGAAATACTCAGGAAGACTAAAATTTAATGTGCTATGTATTTTTATCAATATACCCAGATTGATCCAATTTGTTTTTACAAAGAGAACATTTTATTGGCTGTCTTAGTGTTACAGGGCAACCCTGATATAAAATGGGTTGCCTGACTGTGGTTCTCACCCATGTGATTAAAGGCGATTAATTAATACTCAACTGCAGGGCCTCCCCTGGTGGCGCAGTGGTTGAGCACTGGGCTGCAAAGCTGCCCGCAGCCTCTGCAGCACCGGTTCGAACTCAGGCCGCAGGCAAGGGTCCCACATGGCAAGCAGACCTCTCCTTACTCGCCCACTGCTCCCCTCAGCAGTGTATTTTGCCAGCCTGCCTGTTCTGCTCCCTGCTCTGTCTCTGGTGAATCCTCTCACCCTCCCGCGCTTCTGACTGTACCCAGTGCTTGTATAAATAAATAAATAAATCTTTTAAAAAAAAATACTCAACTGCAGGCACACAGAAAAGGTTAATAAAAGGTTTATTTACAAAGGAAAGGGAATATGAAGAAATGAATAATTCAAGGGGAAAAGAGGGAGATAAACTCATGAATTTGTCCTACCCATTTCACTAACCTGGATCCCCGTGGAATCCCCGTGGCATGCTGAGAGCTGGCGAAGAGCCAAGAGCCCTGAAGCCAGGAAAGAGACCCCACCAGGCCCACGTGTCTGCTTTTATACCAAACCTGGCTGCTTAACTCCACCCTCAGGTCCCAGCAACCCTCCATTTGGTGATGATGGGATTTGTCTTTCCCAATGTCCTGATGGCTTTGGTCTGGAGTGGGGGTGGAGTCCACAAAGCCTGTTATGGAATTAGCTCAGGACATCCTTTCCCCCTAACATTAGGAGTCCTTTTAGGACAAAGACTTTAATATTTTTTAATTGAATTTATTTTTATTATTTTTTATATTAATTTTTAAAATTTTTTTATATCATTGTTCATTTTAAAACAATATTTGCTTCCCCCCACCCCGTGTAGTCCCCAGAGAGTTTCCTTCACCAATGCACCCTTGACCATCACCTTAGTCCCCTGTGCTCCACCCTCCATCCCCTTAATCCCTCTCCCTCCTCCTCCCTGCAGGATGTCTAAAGACTTTAATATTTTAGAATTTTTG